TCGGTCCCAATGCGTCGAACGGCTCGCCCATGATTCCCGCTGCCGCGTCTGCAATTACTTCGACGCGTTTACCTAATGCGCTCTACTCGAGTGGTGGATACACATTCGCACAACTACTGGAAGATGTGAACGAGGTGATTCCGTTGGAAACAGAATCGGCACAGTTTGACGAAGAGTGCAGTGGGCAGTGGGGTCTTGAAGATTATGTGGTTGAAGTGGGTGGCTCAGAGTGCCTACATTTTATGGAGGTGGGCGGCCTATTGCGCGACGGCGATGAGGTCCTGTATGTGCCATTCCGTCCATGTTGACCCTCTCATGATTTCAATTAGGGAGCCACTAACCGAAGCGTCCTCACCTGGTAGAATCCGTGCTCTACAAATCGAAGATCTTCGGGCCAGGCGGCTTTCCGGTCGCCATCAGATCTCCGGAGATGGCAAACACCTCATCGATGGCGTTCCCTTCGGAAAGCCTTTCCTGAAAAGGCCTACTTCATCTCGACCTGCAATCACGATTCCACCTAGGAAGAAACGACGGACTACCATCGCAGGATGGGATTACGGGGTACGCTATGATGATGATGCGGATTGGGAACCACCCAAGCGGCTTCTTTCCAACGTGGAAGTTGATGCACTCGGGAACAGTGGTAATTCCGAAGGGAAAAAGGCGGAAGGGCATGGAACTACGTTTCAGGATGACTTCCAGGATTATCATGAGCCTGAGGATGACGGTGACGGAACAGTAATCCGCCACCCCGTGGACCAGGAATCAGAGAGTGATTCTGACATGTCTGATACCCGAGAGGGCGAACTTGAGGAGGAGTTGAAGGCTCTCGCGGAGGATTTGGAAGCCCCTCCCATCTCCAAACTTGAAGACCAAGTCAAGCAACAGACTGAGTCTGCGCCCCGTGCTCTCCGCTCCGGGCCTAGGACTCCCTCGATAACACCAAAGAGAGATGCACCAAAGGTTACTCAAAGTACCTCAACCCCAGCTGAGTCACGGGCGGATGCTAAGGTGGTCCTATTTGAGGATGAGAAGCCGGCATCGCAAGCCTTGAAGCCTGAAAGCACACCTGTGAGCAAGGCGAAGTCACCCTCCGTGAGTTCGGCTGGCTCTGTCTCAGACGACAGCGACAGCAGCTCACTCGCATCCGACTCTAGTGGTGTGAGTGACTCCAGCTCGGATGAAGACTCGTCTTCGGAGTCAGGTCATTCGCTATCGGACTCAGATGACTCAGATGATTCAAATGAGTCTGATGATTCAGATGATGAGTCCACTTCGGAGTCTGATGATTCAAGCGCATCGGAATCGGAGGATGAGGATGTTTCCGACTCAGACACTAGCGTCGAAGCCCCCATCAAAAATGCTCCGCCTGGAGCAGGATCGTTGCGGACCAAAAAGAGTAATCAACGTAACAAGATGCGTCGCCGATTGGCAAAGCTCAAGGAACTTGGTGCTTTACCTGCGCAAGCTGATTTCGCGGCGCTACGGGAATGGGAGGATGTGCATGGATGCGAGTACTATATCCCCGAAACCAAGCCTGAGCCCAAACCCGAAACCAAATCTGGAGCCAAAGCTGAAGTCAACTCTAAAAACCGAGGCGACAAGAAGGAGCAAGAACGCGCAGAATTTGAAGCAAGGCGGCAGAAACTGCTCCAGGATTTGGCTGCTGGCGGCGTCGACGTTTCAGTCACCCCAGAGAAGGAGAGCGTGCCGCCCCATGATGAGAACAAGCGGAAGACACGTTCTGCAAGGGACATCTCTGTGAATGGTAACACAGACAGTGATTCATCTAAGAGGCGTACTTTGGATGTTGCCAGCTCTCGGCGAATGCTGTTTGGCTCTCTTGGAGTGAGAGCTCCGCGCAACAAGGAAGATGAAGATGCGACGCGGAGGAAGCTTGCTGCAAACATCACCCATATTCCACCTCGCAAGTCCGTAGGCCAAGACACAGAGGTTGGGCACGAAAGTGATGTGGAACATAACTGGGAGGAAAAGTTGACCATCAGAGCTACCGAATGTATCCACGACGATATTGAGCTGACGGCGCCACCTTTCCCATTTGAGCAGCGCTGGGATCACGATGTCAGCAATATCATCAGGCAACGCAAAGGCTGGGGCAAGAAGAGGAAGCGGCGCCAACAGCTTCAAGTCTACGACGCGGGAGAGGAAGAATATGGAAATTGGGAGGATAGTTACTTTGACGGAGATGACCGGCTCAATTATGATGACACGGAGCAGCTTAACGGGGAGCATCAAGCAGAAAATGAGGCTGAGGAGTCAGCTGAGGATCTGCCTGTACTGCCCACTAATCACCTCACCCTTCCAGATCTCTCTGAGGATCACCTACAGCGGGCCTCTATAATTGCTTTCAAGCAATTGGACCTGTCTAAAGCCACAAACTGGCAGCCTACCGTGTCTGAGTATCGGGTGGCTGAGATACATGATGTTTACGAGGACAACATCCTCAAGATCAGGCTCGCCAAGCGTGACAGAAGGCAAGTCGCCGATGTTGACCCGGATGAGGTGGAAACCGATAAACCATATTACACCGGATTCGAAATGCCTGGCCTTGAAGATGATGCGGCGGAGGACGATGGCTTCCGAGAGCTTTCCTACGCGGACTTCATTGAACCCAAGCTTCTCCGAGCTGCGCCCACTGCAGGAACTGGGGATGCTGAGAAACCCAGCATGTCAGTACATTAATTTCCTTCACTCCTCTGGCGTATGGAAACGCTCACCCGACCAAGCTCCCACGCAGCAGAGGAGTCCACCACGCCGAAGATCACCACTCCGGCTCGAATTGAGGCCACGGCCGCGCACGATGGCGACAAAGATGGTCAGCGACCAGCCCCCGATGCGGGAGATAAGCCGGCTGACTCGGGACCTAATAAGCCTATTCTCCAGGAGACAACAAACTCCTCGAAGAGTCTTGCAGGCGATTCCAGCCCCGTTCTGTCCCCCCAGTTTCACGGATTCCAGTCCCCACCCCCAACCGGATGCTCGGAAAAGGCCTCGGACTCGGCATCCAACCTCATCGCCGACGCCGAACCAACCCCCGATGGCGGTGCTGACCGTCAACCCGACGTGCTTCTGCCTTCTAACAAGAAATCTCCCAACTCTCTGGGCTCCCCACAGCGCCCTGACGGTGTCACCCCCGGTCACGCCGCAGATGCGTCTAATGACGATCTCCAGATGATCAGTAGCCCGCTCAGTGTGTTGTCCTTCAATCAGCTGATGAACCGGTATTTCCCCGCCAAGCGGGAGAGGAGTGATACTCCACCTTCCAACCAGCAAGCGCAGGGCGACGAGACCCGACCGTCCTCAAGTTTGTCGGCCAGTTCCATGGTCCCGAATCCGTTCTTTGAGATCGACAGGGCTCGAGAGGAAAGCAAGCAGGAACTCTCGTCGCAGCCATCAGAAGGCGCTGGGGTTACTGCGGGTGATACCACACTAGATCTCCAATCTTTGGTGGGATCGTCTTCCACGCCACCGTCAGGCCAACGGTCCGTGCAGAAGAGCTCGAAGTGGAAGGACACGGAGGAATCATCCCTGATTAGTGTTGTCCCTGATGGCATGATTCTACCGGTGGCGCCTCAACCCAACCCCCCTCAACCCGCGGGATCTGAGTCCATTGTGGTGGATCTGACACAGTCCAGCCCCCCGGTGTCGCCCGGGGGCAGTGACCATGACTTTGGCCGATCGCAGCGGCTGCCGCAAGGGCCTGGGTGAGTGCAGAAACACGTACCTCCCACGCAACGCCGTACCCGACAGTCGCTGGCCAGGCTGCGGGGGAAGTCGCGGAAGGGATTGAGCTTGGAGTCGAACCCACCGCAGTGAAGACGGCGAGAGTCCGGTAGCGAAGATGTGATGCGAAAGACAGGCAGACGAGCCAGAGGGTGCTGCGTTCATGCTTGAATGACAATGGAATGAAAGAGTAGAATGATGGGCGTCGACATGTAGTCTATTTCGTTTTCTTCTTCCTTTGTTTTAAACTATGTACATACATACATACATACATACATACATACATACTACATACATCGGTGGTGATACCAATTCTAATGATTGATCCGTCATCTCAAGTTGTCTGGCGCAGGGGGCGCGAGTGTAACTATGAGGTATGAGGTAACCTTACCTTGGAGGCACACAGGCACCCACTCAGGCACCCACTCAGGCAACCACACTGTGGGGAAGCTCCGAAATCTGACAACGTCTGGAAGCTGATTGGCGAAGGGGTTGGGCATAGCTGGCGACGTCATCGAGCTGGGGTTCCCAAAAGGGAAAGCACGATGGATGCCCGCTGCTGTCCGTAGATGGATGGACCTTGATCGTTCCTTCCCAATTCCATCCCACCTCAGCTTCATCCGTCGGATTCTTTTTTGATTTCTTGTTCGCCGGGCGTGGATTTCATCATTCTTCCGCCATCATCCGATCTGGACCTGGTCGAATAATATTGACTAACTATAGAATACAAGCCAGTTACAGATACATCAATGCTGCATCAACCTGTTTTTTTTTTAACTGTTATTAATATTATTGTTGTTGTTGTTCAAGTCACAGGTAGGTACAGTACAATAAGTAACCTATCCAATTCATCCAATTGACTACTAACCTAATCCCCCTCCCCCTCCAATTAATCCATCCATCGTCCCCCAATGCGTTTTCCCCTCCTTGTGGCTCGTTCTTCCACCATCCCCTCCTCCTCCTCCTTTTCTTCTTCCTCTTCCTTCTCCATCCTCCGCCATACGAATCTAGTCCAACTTTCGTCTCCTGCTCATCGCCGTTATCTGACTATCTCATCGTCCCCTTCTCCTTCTTCTCATCGTCCTACAACCTGTCGCTGCGGTTGCCGCAACATCTCTTCCTGTCGCTGCCACTGCTGTGCTCATCCTTCCGAAGCCTCTGCCCGTACTATTCCAGCTAATCCCCACCTGTGCTCCTCGTCTTCTCCCTCAACACCTCAGCTTCTTCGCTCATTCTCGACCACTCGACCTGCCAAGATGGTCCAACAATACAAGCTCAAGAACGTCTCGTCCTTCGCAGATGTCAAGGAATTGGATAAGGTTGAATGTGAAGTCGAAGGCATCGAAGAGGGCAAGGTACTCCTGGTTCGTCATGATGGCCAGGTTCATGCTATGACCCCCAAATGTACCCATTACGGTGCACCCCTGAAACTCGGTGTGGTGGCCCCGGAGGGTCGCATTACTTGCCCATGGCACGGAGGTAAGCTCGTGGCTCCAATGTCTGGACTCTCGTTATTGATTTTCACCCATAGCCTGCTTCAATGTCGTCACTGGTGATGTCGAAGATGCTCCGGCCCCGAATGCCCTCAAGAAATTCGAAGTCTTTGAAGAGAATGGTGCCGTTTACATCAATGCAGAGGAGTCCGACATCAAAGCGGCTCAGCGGGATCCTGCAATGAAGTGTAAATCGTCCGACTCGGAGAGGCTGGTCGTCGTTGGCGGGTATGTCATCCCAATGCGAGTACGAAGACAAGATACTAATGCAGAGTGCGAACAACAGTGGAAGTGGTACCTTCGGTGTGGTCCAGGCGATCCGTGAATTGAAGTACAATGGTGCCGTGACCGTAATCACTCGGGAACCTAATCTCATCATCGATCGGACCAAGCTGTCCAAGGCGTTGATCGCCGACCCCCAGAAGATTCAGTGGCGACCCGAGGAGTGGTATAAGGAAGCCTCCATTGAATTCGCCCACGATGACGTGACTGGTGTCGATTTTGCAAAGAGGACAGTGTCCACCAAGTCGGGCAAGTCGTACCCCTACACCAAGCTAGTCCTGGCTACGGGAGGCGTGCCGCGCACGCTTCCCTTGGAGGGATTCAAGGATCTGGGTAACATCTTCGTGCTTCGCACCATTCCCGATGTGCAGGCTATTCATCAGGCGCTGGGCGAGCAGAAGAACAAAAAGGTTGTCGTCATCGGCAGCTCTTTTATTGGTATGGAGGTAGGCAACTGCCTCGCGAAAGAGAACGAAGTCACCATCGTCGGCATGGAGAAAGCCCCCATGGAGCGGGTTATGGGCGAGCAGGTTGGCTGCATATTCCAAAAGAACCTGGAGAAAGCAGGTGTCAAGTTCAAGCTGGACGTGGGTGTCTCTAAAGCGACACCGTCGAGCTCTGATTCTAGCAAGGTTGGGACGGTTCATCTCGATGATGGCACCGAGCTGCAAGCCGATCTGGTCATCCTCGGTGTTGGCGTGCGTCCCGCAACCGACTTCCTCAATGACAACCCAGCAATCACTCTTGAGAAGGATGGATCTATCAAGACGGACGAGCACTTCGCCGTCAAGGGTCTGAACAACGACGTCTTTGCCATTGGCGACATCGCGACCTACCCATACCACGGACCCGGTGCTGACCAGGAGAACGGCAGCTACACCCGGATCGAGCACTGGAATGTAGCTCAGAACGCTGGTCGTGGCGTCGCCCGCGCCATCGTTCACAGCCTGAAAGCTGGGTCGCTGCAGTCCCTGAAGCCGAAGGCATTCATTCCGATCTTCTGGAGTGCTCTGGGCGCTCAGCTGCGGTACTGCGGTAGCACAGTGAACGGGTGGGACGATTTGATCCTGCACGGAGAGCCGGAGAACGGAAAATTCGCGGCCTACTACACCAAGGGAGAGACGGTAGTGGCCGTGGCGACGATGGGTATGGATCCGATCATGGTGAAGTGTGCGGAGTTGATGCGGCGGAAGAATATGCCGACCAAGTCGCAGATCCAGGGTGGGGCGGACGTCTTGGCTGTCGATGTTCCTTCTTCAGTGAGGATTTAAAGATTGAATCTAGTACTCTAGTCAATAGTCTAATAATACCAGCTCTTTTGCAAAGAAACGATAAGAGGGATAGGAAGCTTGAGTAAAGTCAATCTTCGAAATATGCTGGAACCCTTGCAAATCGGGTTAAGCCGGAAAAATCGTCCCGTCGGAGATATATATCACTGTGTAGAGCGCATGAAAGGGCATTCTCAAACAACCAGATGCCTAGGTTGCCCCTGCGATTTTGGCCCCATCAAGGGGATTTCAGATTTGAAATCTACTCAATGACTAGGGAAACCTACCGACGGGCTTTCAACCCTGCACTGCTCCTCCTCGTCTTCTACCACCCAACACACGATCCGCAGCAAGTGATTCCCAACTGATCAGAAAAAACGTAATTTTGATTCACCCATCTAACGCCCGGCAAGAGATACAGCAAAGGAGCATCGAGGCAAGCAAGATGAAGTATATAAGGATGAACAGAGAAAGCAGAAGACAAAAAGACCGCCACACTATCAACATAATTCCGTTTCTGGCCTGTTGGAGCCAAAACGGGAAGCGGTGCGCTTGCATATGAGCTTAGAACTCGACTCCGTTTTTTTCCACCATGAAATATGCTGCACCTCCCCCGTAGATACACTCACTCACACTCGCTCAAACTCACTCACACATGCGAAGGGCAAAGTAAACGGGATGACAATCATTGGGGAGTCACCTAGTCCTTGGACTTCTTCTCCTTCTTCTCCTTTTTACCGGAGGAGGAGGACTTGCTCTTCTTCTCCTTCTTGGGCTTACTGCTGCTGTTGCTGGTTTTTGTGGGAGTAGCAGTGACTTCGGCCTTTGGGGCATTGTCGACGACGTCCCGGAGTTCATCGACCCGATCCGCCGGCGCGGCGCTGAGCGGGACGGTGAACGAGACCGAGGGCGGCGCGTCGACGCTCACCTGGCGGCGAGGAGTGCCCATGCCACTCCCGCTACTGCCCAGTCCGGTGGAGAGGATCCCGTTCCGCTCGTCCTCCAGCACCCGCGCCTCCTCCTCGGGACTGAGCATCGTGCCCTCGATGCTGATGAACCCCCGGTCCCGCTCCGAGCCCGGGATGACGTCGATGTCGACCACGCGGAACTTGATCGTGCCGCGCACGCGGTGGCCCGACACGGACTGGAAGTAGCCCTCTACCCCGTCATCATCATCATCCTTGGGGGTGGGGTCGTGGGTGGAGATGTCGGGGTTCGAGTTGGAGGGGTTAAGGGGGTTGGCGTCGGAGGCGAGGGTGACGGGGCTGAAGTGTTCGAGTTCCGGGTCGAATTTGGGCTTGGTTTCGGATTCTGACGAGTCGGAGTCCGAGTCATCTGAGGCGGTGGTGGTGGATGGGTTAGTTTCGTCATTAGGGGTGCTCTTAGCGGTTGTGGTAGTTGTGGTGGTGGTAGTTGTGGTGGTGGTTTCGTCCTCGTGTTCGTCGCCTGGAGGGATCCACTTCCAGTTGGAGGGGAGGCGTTTCCGTTCGATGCCCACGGAGAAGAGGTTCAGCGCGATGGCGCCGAGGAACCCCTCCGATTGTACGTTGACCCAGCCCTCTAGGAGCTGACCGCGCTGCGGGCGGAAGACGAGGAAGGTCGCCGTGAGGTAGACGTAGAGGACGCCGTATTCGCCGGCCGTGCGCGCCAGGGTGAGGGGTTGCGGGTGGTCTTCGGTGGCCGCGGCCGCCGCGGCGGACTCCGGGCTGTTGGGCGGCGTGCTGGAGATCGTGACGTTGGAGTAGGCCAGCACGATACCCTCGAGCGGCGGGTAGTAGGTCAGGAGCAGCGGGGACAGGTGCTCGGCCATCAGCGAGGCCTGCGCGTGGGTCGGGGAGATGGAGATGGGCGACAGTGGGAGGTAGAGGGTGGCGGTGGTGAGGGTGTAGGGGGAACTTTCGGCAGGTGTAGTCGTGAACTTCTTTTGAATCTTGGTGGCTGACTTCTTGCTGCTGCTGCTTTTCTTCTCGCGGATAGGCATCGGCGTCGCTTCTTCTTCGGTAATCGTGTGCTTGCGCTTCTTCTTCGATGGGGACGAAGTGTCCTTGTGCTTGCGCTTGCGCTCCTTCTCCGGCGAGCGATTCGCTGCCGGCGAGGCAATGTGTGTGTCAATCTCCATCGCGTCGACGGCCATTGTGACTGTAGAAAGCGCAATGGATGCGCTGCGTCGCAATCTGGGGAGAGGTGCGGAGGACGGACTTTGCGATGTCGAGGAACTTTTTTTTTTTACCTTTTTTTTTTCTCCCTCTCCGTTTTTCCTGTTCGGGGAGAATGGGGTCGGGCGGTGGGCCGGGCGGTGAGAGATAAGCGCTGAAGACAAGACAAGGGGATTTACTTCCGTACTTCCCCAATAAACACTTTTCTGGGAATCTCAATTGTCATTTGGCTGTGGCTGACATTAGATGGAGGAATAGTCGAGGTTTGACCTGTCAGTCAGAGCATCTTGGGTGTTTTCTCTCATGGCGTCGCTTTTGTCTTATATGGGATGGGCCGTCCTCCCAAATGTGAGTCCTCCAGTTTCCCCGCGACACTTCGTCCCGCCAGGTGTCCCGTCTTTCGGAGAGTGCTATACAGCACGCGCACGGCATCGAGAATGGTATGGCTGACAGATCCCCTTGACAGTATGCCACATCGATCGCGCAGAGTGTCTACTATGGACTCACCATTCGCGCGGGTGAACCTCGTCCTCAGCCAGGCACTCCTCGCTACGCCCGACATCGCCGTCGCATCTTTATCTTGGTCGTGACCAGCTACCTTCTTTATACGCTTTACGAGACCTTCCACCGGGTGCAAATCGCAGGCGATTTCTACAAGGCTCTTGGGGTCTCGCCCCTGGCTGACGAGCGAACCATCAAGTCGCGCTTCCGCCGGCTGGCGGCCCAGCACCATCCGGACAAGATCGGCGCAGGTGACGGGCTGCGCTCCGACGGCTATTTCGTCTATCTGAAGCTGGCGCAAGATACGTTGTTGGATCCAGTCCGACGCTTTGCCTACGATCGGTTCGGGCCGAGCATGCTCGAATGGGGAGAGAAGAAGACGATGCAGGAATTCATGTTTGCTGGGTTGCAGCGATCGGTCCCACAGTACATCGGGGGTCTGGTGACCATTATGATCTTACATTTCACCTGGTGGTCCGAATGGGGGCGCTATGTAGGTTTTCCCGAAATACTCTCCCTTGAACACCTCGTACTGACGCACCTACGTCCAGTGGCGCTTTTTTACCTTTGCAGCTCTCGTGAGCCTCGAGTTGGCACTGATCACGCATCCCAAGGCGTTGTTCTTTCCCGCATCCTACCTCCCGGATGCCGTGCAAGGACTATTCGGCATCTCCTCGACGAACTCCGGGTTCTATCTGCTGCCGTTCCAGATCCTAACGCTGGCCCAACGGGCCTCGGTGACGCTGCATATCTTCATCTCGCAGGTCACCCCTCCGGAGATCGGCCGACGGGCCTCGTCTAGCGCGGGGGAGCAATTGCACCCGAAGACCATGCAGCAATTGGGACAGCTGCTGCAGTTGTCCCGGGCCACTGACGGCGAGGCGACTCAGTTACTGCAGCTGGGATTTGCGCCGTTCAAGGGCGATCGTGAGGGCGTGGCCACGCTGCGCAAGGGAATGAAGGAAGGCTTGGTGCTGAGTAGCGTAAGAGCCAGCCCGGTGGTGCAGCAGGCTGTGGCGGAGGTGATGCAGCGGAAGAAGCAGGGGAAGGCCGATTGAATTTGTATATGTGAGGATTGAAATTCTATAAACTAATGCTCTTCGTCAGTCACGGACCACGTTGAGTTGTATCTACTATAAAGTGGCTGTCTGATTGTATGGTCACCAAGGCTGCCATCATTATTTCGTGGCAATCCCGTCGTACGCGATCGGGGGGATGGAATTGATTAGTAGGGATGGATGGAACGCATCCAGTTGCCATTTGCCCATCGAATCTGGGTTGAGACTCGGCCCCATCAACTTTCAACCAGGCCGAGAGAAGCAAACACGACTACTACAAATGTACGGGAAATCATCGACCATGAAATGGGGGATTAACAGACGGTGGTTAGATAAGCGTCAATGGGGTTCAGCTTCGTACTCAGTATACTCAGTCAGGCGGGCATTGATTTACCCATCCATTGTCTTATCCTTTTCATGGTTTGTCTAGTCTGGTGGTTGGCTTTCGTGTTGAGAGGATCAGAGTGGACACGAAGATTAGTTACGATTACTAGGTAGCGATGGGGGGAGGGGGATGTGATGACATTCCGGAAGTGGCAAGCCGATCGGTAAATGGATGATGGTGGAAGAAGAGTTTTTTCTTTTTTTTTTTTTTTCTTTCCCGTCCTTTTTCTTGGTTGGGATGAGGTATTTCTGGGCTGCCTTTCACGCATCACTTGCATCTTCTGGTCCCGGGGGGAGAGGGGGTTCGATGATGACTAGTAGTAGTTTCGGTGTTCGTTCCGGCGTTGCCTCGGCGGTTGACTGACTAGGCGTGATCACAGCTCAGTACTACGTGCAGGATGTGTGTGTGTGTGTGTGTGTGTGTGTGTGTGTGTGTGTGTGTGTGTCATGAGAGAGACAGAAAGAAGAGAAAAGATAACTAATGGTTCGAGCACGTATGTCACGGATGTGTGAATAGGCAACAGGTGATCCCAGAATTGGGTCATGATGTTGCTGCTGGTGCTGGTGTTGGTGCTGCTGGTGATGATGATTGCTGTTGCTTGCTTCTAGACGATCACAAGCAGGGCTCTCATTCGTAACCAGACTCGTTCGACGCAAGCTGGGAGGGAGTGCACAAAAGTCTAACGCGGCCGAGGCGGGACGGACGATCCATATTTTCCCTTTCGATAGTTGAAGGGCAGAAGAGACATGGTTGGAGTAAGAACTAAAAGAAGGGGTGGATTTTAATTTGGGATAAGAGACGGGGACCAGACCAGACCAGACAAGACCAGACGAGACGAGACGAGACAAAAACCAAACCAAGAATAAGACTACAATCATTTTATCACCATCCCATTTGTTTTTGAGGTAGGTATAATTGTGGAATGGGGATGAATAGGTGGGATAGAGTGGTTTCTAGGGAAAGGCTGAATTGGTTCTTAACCAGAGGACAATCAATCACTTGACATGAATAGAGAGAAAGAGAAGCCGAAGAAGCAAAGCAAGCAAAGCAAGCAAAGCAAGCAAAGCACGCAAAGCACGCAAAAGCACAGCAACGCAAAGTACCAGACTCGGGAGGAGAGAATACCACCACATCTCTCTGCCCCCGGAACATCCTGGAAGGGGGAAGAGACTGCCTGACGGACGGACCGACACTAATTGACTGTCTCAATAATTAACACATTTCCTCAGTTCAACCCATTGAACAGGTTAACTTCACTCATTCAAGCTATTTCTATACTTGCAGACTCTACGTACAGTATATATGTACAGTAGTACGATCAAGGATCAACAATCAACGAACTATACTATGTACTATGTACAATACATAGTAACTTATAACTTATATGCGTACTCCGTATAGTAGGTGTATTGTTCTGGTTTCCGTACCGTCCCAGTCCATTCCTGGGTCCCATCCGATTAGGGGATCCGCGGTAACGAGGCGTACGAAGACTTCATCCCTTCGAGCTTCTCTCTCACTGACCGCACCAGAAAACTCGTTCCCTAGACGAGCAACACACAACATCCACCCAACCAACCACCACCGCAATGAAACTACCACACGGCGCCTCGACATCCCCATTCCCTTTCATCCCTCCCCCGACCTTCCTTTCTTTCTTTCCTCTCCCCCCTTCCTCCCTCTCCTCTCACTCTATACCCACGATCAACACCACCCACCACCGCCATCACCACTATTCTAGGCCTCACCACCAGACTATGTCACCGCGGCCTCACCCTGCCTGTCTCAATCAGCCCTGCCAGACTCTCGCCTCGCCTTGACCCAATCTCGCTGCCGTGTTTGACCCGATCCACGCCAACGCTCTTCTCTCCACCACCACCAACCTTACTCTCCGTCACCCACGTCACGATCACCGTTTATTTCCTCATTCCCCCCTTCCCCTTCCTAACTTTCTTCGTCCGAATACTCGGTTCCTAAAATCCTCGTCGCCACTCAGCCTCAGACGAACGTCGCCTCGGTTTCTTTTCTCTCCACCACCGTTCGGGTAGCCTCATCACCAACCCTCCTCTTTGAAGGGACGAACACTCCCTTCTGGAATCACCTCCACTCCCCGGATCTATTCAGCCACCAAGATACCGGCGGCCAGCTCTGCCATGGCCACCACCACCACCACCACCGTTACCACGAACGGTCGCTCCAGCCGGTCTGGAAGCTCGAAGAAGATGGTCGTACTCAAACTGTCACCCGATCTACTAAGTCAGTTTGCGACACCACCCCCCGAGAGCAAGGAGTCGAAGAACAAGAAGCACATCGACACCCCGGCCGAGTCCCCGGTCAAGATCAAGGAGCCCTCGTCCCCGGCCTCCTCGTCGGCGGAACTACCGCCCCCGGCCTCCTCCGTGGACAATGCCTCCGATGCAGCATCTACGCCTGCTGCGGGCACCTCCGCTGCCGACACTCCCCGTCGCAAGGGCGTGCCGGGCCCTAAGCCGGGGAGCAAACGGGGCCTAGGCCAAACGGGTGAGACCTACCCGAGGCCGAGAGGCAAGCCCGGTCCTAAGAAGAAGCCTAGACTGTATGTGATTGTTGCTCCTAGTCTATCAATGTGCATGTCTCACTAACACTGCTGGCCTTACAGTGACGATGGGTCAGTCGACCATGCCAAATTGGCTGCCAATCATAAGCTCGGCCCCAAGGCCAACCTTGGCGCCATCAATGCCGGTCTACGGGCACTGGACCGTACCGGTGCTCCGTGTCGGAAATGGGAGCGCAAGCCCTTGCAGCTGAAAAGCTTCACAGGCATCCAATGGGCTCTGCCAACCTGGCGCGCTCCCAAACCCCCCAGGCCCGAGGAGAATGGCGAGGCCAAAGAGATGGCACTCGAAACGGGTGACAGTGACAGCAAGGCCAACCAAAGTGCCAGCGGCGTACCCAGCGAAAAGAGCAACATGGGTGATGGAGATGTCACCCCACTGCCTTCGAATATCCCTGACGCCTCCTCGCCGGCTCCTGCCATTGCTATGACTGCCTAGTCGCCTCATATCGCATTCTCACATTTACTTAATGTTTTTTTTTTCTTCTTGTATATTATTTATCTTTGTTCCCTTCTCTTTCATGTTGACTCCCATATACCGATTTAGCCCCCATCACTTTTGATGGGTACGTGACCGTTATTCGGTACTACCTCTTTTTTGTTTTCTGCCTTGGTTGCTGGGTTGGCGTTGGAACGATCTCGGTCAGATCACCTCGGTGGACTGCTACACATGATGGTTATTTATCACTGCCTTGAGTGATTCTTCTGATTCAATGTTTCCTCGGTTTCTTGTTCTTTGTTTGCTCCTTTGTTATGTAACACTAGAATTATCGGGTACGGGAACAATTCCCCGTGCAGGGCATGGATGAGCTATTTATTGCAGCAGTTGGAAGCATGTACATTTGCACGGTCTATGGATACAAGTTCATCAGCCAGGGTGATCAGGATGATCTACCGGCTGGGTGTCTGTTTGTCATGAACATCAATCCATGAATGAAAATCGGCTTCGCTATCCAGCGGCATTAATTGTTTTACCAAGTATTTGACTCTGTAAAGACATAAATGGGGTCGGTTGTGATTGGTATTCAGATGCCAGCTGATAGTGTGAGGAGAGACAATGTGTAGAGGGTGCGATAGCATTATGTTTTGGGAAGTGACTACTATAATGGCCACTATATGTACTGTACTTCCTTTCGGGTTGGTGATACACAGTCTGCGTCACCTTGCAACATCCAGTCATCAGAAGGGTTGTAGTAGGTAGACACATAACCAGTGCAGGACAAGCGACATGCAAGGGCAAAGCATTTCTTTCCTTTCTTGCCTTCCACTTGGCTGGTTCCTGTCAGATGTCATTGAGATGCTGCCCCGGGATTGCACTTCTGTTTCCCCGCAGTGTGTGTGTGTGTGTGTGTGTGTGTGTGTGTGTGTCTTGGTCAGGCCATCATCCCCTGTCATACTTCGAGTGTGTTCCCTTCCCCTCCCTCCCTCCTTCTCTCTCGGTCCTTCGGTCTCTCTCTCTCTTGTCACGCGAGCTTCGACATGACCGCTTTTCCCCTTATCCTCGGATCCTCCTTCACCCTCTTCTTCCTCTCTACCGATTTCTTTCCTGTACGGGTTATGTTGACAAACTTCTATCGCAACCTGGCTCAGCTGAACTTGGGCCCTGATCAGGTGTGAGCAAGCGAGGATTTGTTCTTACTCAGTCTCTTTATGAAATTCATCGAGTACTTCGTGCTGTCAATCTGTACTTCGAACTTCTCCAACTCAGTCTACGGGTGGTAATACTCCACAATTTGCCGGTTACGGACAGCCTTCAGTCCGATCAGGTGAACCGCCGGACGGACAAGAAACGAAAGTATAGAACAAAAAGAAAAGGAGGAAAAAAAAGCCAAAGGGCGAATACATACCGAGAACATAGAGAGCACATTGTGGAGTCAGCGAATGGAGCAACGTACAGGACATACTTCTGTGAGTGACTTCGGAACCCGACTCAATGCTTTTGACTTGATGTATACAAGATTACAGTATGGGCATGTATTGACCAGTTGGAGGCTTTTGGTGTTTCCTTCCCTCCCCCCCCCCACCCACCACTAACTTAACTAGTTACTGAACAGGAATAATGACTGACGCATCGTTTCCCCCTTCCGGTGGAGCTCCTCGAGCTCCTCCTCTTCCGACTACTACAACTACTACAACTACAACCACCACCACCACCACCGCATACACTGGTCCTCCGAGTATCTCTTCTATCCCACGTCGTTCATCCTACGCCTCGGTTCTATCCGGTACTGCCGTTCTCTCCTCTACCAGCAGCTCTTCGTTGTCTCATCTGAACCTCGCATATCCACCCCCGCCTCTGACCGCCGCCGACAGCCGCCTGTCCAGGCTATCCGCCGCCGTGGATGCTGATATCATGAACTCGCCCTGGCGGTCGTCTCCCGGTGAGACTCTGCCTCCTCACTCCCGTAAATACGCCAGCTTTCCTCTCCACGATCCTTTCGCCCACCAGCCGGGCAGCTTTACCGACACCGTTCCCTCCTTCACCCCCTCTTATCTCCGCAACTCCCGCTATGTCTCCCGCCTGGAGGCCGCCCGTCGGGCCAAACTCGCCGCCCATCGAGATGCCACCGTGCCCTCCGCCACGTCGATCCCTCCGTCAACCTCGTCAAGTCAGGCTAGCCTGCCCCGGATCACCCCTTCTCATCGAGGCATGACCTATGATATTGTCGAACGAGAAACTCCCAACGACGATGACCATTTACTCCCCTTACCCTCCGGGTGGAACGCGGCGGATAAATACTCGGGATTGGAGCTGACGAACGGCGGCTTCGAGGTTCGGTATACGGGCCCAGTCAATAAGCATGATCATGAGGCGGCGGCCGTTCGCGCGGATAACCCCATGCCTCCACAATGCGGGATCTACTACTTTGAGATCACCGTTCTATCCAAACCTAAAGAGGGGTATGTGCTGACTGAAATTGCTGACTGAGGTTCGTGTGGGGTCCGGCTGACAACATTAGGATGATCGGCATTGGATTTTCAAGCAAGAAAGCGTCGGTGGAGAGGTTACCGGGTTGGGAACAAGAATCCTGGGCCTATCATGGGGATGACGGGAAATCCTTCTTTGGCGAAAGCCAAGGACAAGGTCGCCAATACGGTCCAACTTTCGGAGCAAATGATACGGTGGGGTGTGGGGTGAACTTCTCGACCGGTTGTGCCTTTTTCACCAAGAACGGCGTTTTCTTAGGTAGGTCGTGGCACCTTGCAGCCCAACAAGGAGACCGAAAGAGGACTAAGTAGTACACAGGGAACGCGTTTCGGGAGCTACGAAACCTCAAAGTCTATCCATCGGTGGGAATGAAGAAGCAACCGCCGGTGCATATCGTCGCCAATTTCGGCCAGCAGCCCTTTATGTTCGATATCGATGACATGGTCAAGGTATTGTTCGGCCCCTTGAGGCACTTTTCTTGCCGTTCGCCTTTGTTGACATACTTCCACCACAGAAAGAGAAGTCTCTGGTCTATTCGGAAATTGCATTGACCAGCACCGCCAATCTTCAGCCGCCATTGGATGAGAATGCCTTACTCCAAGAATTAGTG